TTTAATAAATATAGAAAGGTATTTGTAATTTCAACGAACATAATGGCCAACCTCATTTCAATCGTGTATAGTATGCCATTGTTGAAATATGGATTAAACTTTACGTAATTATATATTGGTTGGACCAAAAGACAATGGGTCCCACAGCATTTCCACAGCCCAAAAGGCTTTTTTGTGGGCCCACTCGCCGCCCTGGCCTTCCTGAAAAAGTTTGGACGGTGCGATCGCCGCCCCGTTTACTAATTTGTAAATCCTCCACCGTCCGATTCAAATATTAAAACAACAAATATTTTTATAATTGCTGTGGTAATATAATATAACCTTAATATTTTGCCCAAGCTCTTGCGGTATGAATTATATTATTAATAAAAAAACCGTATTATTGTAATTAAATAAAGAACATATTTTTAGTTAGTTCTATGCAAAATATAATTGTTTAATTTCAATTAACCTTTAGAATTTTCCAAAATTGATAAATAAAATTAGCTAAAAAAATAGATCATCAAAATCATTTTTTTATCAAGTAAATAATAATGTCTAAATACCGTCTAATAAAATACTAAATGACGTCGTTTTTTTTACGGGAAAAACATGAAGAGCTAACGAGTGATGGAAGAACATGCTTCTGATCTTCCGAACAAAGATTCTTTCCAACAAGAACTGTGCAGCTTCTTGCACCACTCATCTTTCCGAACGATTTGGAACAAGTTGCGAGGCTTCTCCTTCGCCATGCGGACCAAAGAGCACGGCTTTAGATTCTGTTACTTACACGAAACTCGTTCAGACAGCCGCCAAATCGGGTTCCATGGTTCTGGGAAAACTCGCCCATGCCCGTATGATCAAGACATCTTTCAATCCGTGCCTGTTCTTGCTCAACAATATGCTCAACATGTACAGCAAGTGTGGGGAACTGGGCTTCGCACGCTACCTGCTCGACGGAATGCCTCAGAGAAATATAATCTCGTTCAATTCTCTGATTTCTGGGTACACCCAGATGGGTTATCACGATCGTGTCATGGATTTGTTTGTTGAAGCTAGAGAATCTGGATTGAAGCTTGATAAGTTCACCTATGCTGGTGCTTTGAGTGTTTGTGGAGAAAGCTGTCATCTTGAACTGGGAAAGGTGCTTCATGGACTGGTTACTGTCAATGGATTGGCTGAACAAGTGTTTCTGATCAATGTGTTGATCGATATGTACTGTAAGTGTGGGAAGCTGGATGAAGCTAGGTACTTGTTTGATAATTCGAAGGAGCTGGATCAAGTTTCATGGAACTCTTTGATTTCTGGTTATGTTCGGATTGGTGCAACCAAAGAACCGTTAAATCTTTTGGCTGAAATGCATAGAAATGGTCTAAAGTTGACTACTTATACTCTAGGGAGTTCGCTCAAGGCGTGTTGCTTAAATTTTGATTACGAATCGATGGCTCAAGGGATGGCGATTCATGGGTACGTAACAAAACTGGGGATGGAATCGGATGTGGTAGTTGGTACTGCATTGCTTGACATGTATGCTAAAAATGGAAGGTTGAAAGATTCGGTCAAGATTTTCAACCTCATGCCCGACAAGAATGTGGTTATGTATAACGCAATGCTTTCAGGGTTTCTTCAGTTGGATGATATAACCGATGAATCTGTAATTGAAACCTTTGAACTCTTCATGGAAATGCAAAGGCGGGGACTGAAACCATCAGCATC